ACATTAGCTTGGCGCACACGTGGCTATCAGGAGAAACTCTCCACTGGCACTGCAGCTCTGCTCCAGGTCTGAATTGCTAATGTGAGAGGTACTTCAATATTGGATTATCACATATTAAGTTTTATGTTTACCACAGTTTATTTCCTTAAGGGCTTAAAGTGACAGAGATCATACTGTGTTCGTGCAAATTACATAACCTCAGTTGAATTAGAGCTCTATTGTCTGGTTGAGGTTTTCCAACACATAAAAATGCACTCAGGGCTAAATTAAATGTCATATTTAATTAACAAGCAGAATAGCAATTGCTAAACGTTGTTATTTTTCAGTAGAGAAAACCTAGTGTAGTGTGATCAAAACAGGGTACTTTAATGAACTGACCAATGTGCCAGCAAACATTAAGCTGCTTTTTTTCCAACTGCTTCAACAAACACCAACAGGGTAAACACACAGATTTAATACAGCAAGGGTGAACTAGACTCGAGTGGTGGGAACAAACCTTTATGTGTGCTAGATGATTCAACACAAAAACCAAAAGAAATTACTCGCTACAGCAATTCTATATTAAATAGGTTGTTATATGTACACTGGAGAGAAAAAAAGCAGCTTTCATAGGCAGCCTAGAATATCATGCACTTTCACAACAAAAACGTTTTTTTCTTTATTGAATAATAATAATAATAAAACCCTCTTTGTTCTCTTTCTCTGTATCATTGTCTACACTGGTGATTTGTTCAACTAACTTTTTTATTTATACCAAACAAGGCCATAATCATATCTAGAACATTAGGGGGACTATTGTTTTGAGGAAAATATTAAGACCAGACCACTATGGTAATGGTAAAGTAATCAATCTGAACTGCAAATACTATTTTTATATAATATGCACCCATTCAATTTTAGTCGTAGGCCTAGCCTATTCCTAATATGTTGAAAACGCAAGACAGAAAATGCTATTGTTGTCACAATAATTATGAATTACATGACACGTAAATAATTGACAGCCCAACTTTCAATTCAAAACGGCAGAATTGATAATACAGTCGAGCCGAATGTTGCTATAGTAAGTAATTCTTACATTCAACATTAACAGCAAGTCAAAAGGGGTAAGCTTTCAACTGAACTACATTTTGGACACTTATATTATGCTCGTATTATGCACAAAAAAAATTTACGTAATCTTTATCTAATTCTGATTGGGTGGGCAAGACCTGCCCATGCCTGGAGCCGGCCCTGTTTAGGTTCTCCAGGACCCGATGGAGAATGGGCAAGACTACGACATTAGCAATTCCTTACTTACTGGGTCATCCTTACTTGGAAAATAACCATTCTAACAGTACTCACAAGTAGCTGTGGTAATGAAAATAGATAGTGCCAATATAAGCAACTTGAAAGGAAAAACCAAGCAATTATTGGAAAATCCAGATTGCAGAAAACTATTGACTGGCTGGTCAGAACATGGGGCGATCTTATTGCGATAAACAAGGCTTGTAATTCCCTCATTCCATGCAGTGCTTGCTAACAATTTGTCAGCAGGAACGACATGTAGTATGGTGACCCATACTAGGAATTAGTGCTCTGCATTTAACCCATCCTTAGTGCACACACACAGCAGTGAACACACACACACCCGGAGCAGTGGGCAGCCATTTATGCTGCGGCACCCGGGGAGCAGTTGGGGTGTCGTGTACAGAGAGTGCTGTACATTCACCCCCCCCCCCTACAATCCCTGCCGGCACGAGACTCGAACCCGCAACCTTTGGGTTACGAGTTCGACTCTCTAACCATTAGGCCATGACTTCCCCGACTTCCCCTTTTTAAGACAAAGTGCTGTATCTCACCATGCTGGCATCAATGATCTGGCCTTGTGCTGACCTGCTCCTTTCCAGGAGAGCCAACACAATCCCAAAAGCACACACGAGACCTCCTCCAGCAAAGTCTGCCACCAAATTCAGTGGAGGGTAGGGTTTCTCTGAGCTACGGCCCAGCATGGAAAGTAACCCTATTGCAGACAGACATGCTGAGAACTGTATAATGAAGAATAGCTGAATAATTACTGTAACCGTTATTTTTAAATCACAGTTAAAGGTCAGTTAAAAACATCACCAATTAAGCCACTTGCATCACAAGCGTTCATTGAAGCACAACCTCTGTGCTTCCAAACTGGTTTAAATAATTATTGCCTGTTTAGTGGTGTTAAGAAAAGTGTAGCGAATGAACAAAAATAAAAGAACAATTATTACAAGTGAAAGCATTAAATAATTCAGATTTAACAGACACAGACTTACCGAAGATCAATGTCATTACAGATAATAAGGTTGCAAATGTATATTGTACTGTTAGCACACATAATGTCACAGCAAATAGACAACAAAGGGCTCAAAAAAGCAATAAAACTTGTGCATTATGCAATAAAATGGTCTTTGTGCTCCCGTTTAGTTGGGCCAGTCTCGACCTTCACAAACCATTGACAGCACCTGAATGAAAAGAACTTGATAGTACCATGGCAATGTATGGTAGTTCACAATTATAGTCTGGCAATGTTCCTTGACGTCAATAAAATATTTGACACATCAATGGTTCAAAATCAGGTATTGTCTTTTTGCATGAAAGCAACACTGAAATGCACCTGCCAGGATGATCTTGAATTAATGCACATATGGCTTTAATTGAATATTTTATGCAGTTGGCAGCTGCTTTTATCCAAAGCAACTTAAATTGAATTTTAAGTATACATTTTATCAGTTCATGGTTTCATGAAAAAAAACTAAAAAAACGAACTATTATTATTTATAATAAAAGTTTACTTAAGCTTTTATTGTAATAATGACTGCATTGTCTTCAGCTCCAATTATAGAATTTCAAATTATGATTTCAAGTGGAAACATACATTATTAATGCATTTTCTCTCGCTATGCCTGAATATATTAAGAAGAAAAAAATTAAGAACATTAGGCCTGTAATTCCTGCATCGATTCAGGCTTCCACATATTCTGCAGCTAACAGAAACAAATGAATTTAAAATATAAGCACTGGATGCCACAAGGCTAAAACTGCACCTTATCTTTTTGGTTGATCAGCAGCAGTCAGTTTCACAAAATGCTAAAAATAGATATTCCGTAAAATTTTGGACTGAGTACCCATCATGCACACATATGCAAAAACTCCAACTAGGCTATGTGATCTTTTTCAGCTTGAAAACTCACTAAAATATGACAGTTTTGGGGCACTGTTCATGTACCTACAATAATTGTGGAACATAATTATCAAATGTAATTTTTGGAAGTCTTTTGGAAGCTGCATTCAAAATCCATTTGGCTCAGAAATCTGAGAGGGCACATTTGAATGGACCTGGCGCCTCTGGAGCTATATGTAAATCATAAAATATTAAAAAGGAAAATTCATATAAAATTCTCTCATGATCAAAGATCAACACAGCATAATTTCCATTAAAATTATTTTCATAGCACCACAGACCCACACTGCTCCATATGACTTCAGTCTGCAACCTGAGAAGGGCTAGTTCGCGGTCATGTCTTAGTGTGGAGGACACACTGACTCTGCTTGTACGAAAAGTGCAAGAAAAGTTTTCCACCAAAGGTATTTTGAACTTTGAGCTTTACAGCCACTGTGCCTAAAGGCAGTCTGGGAAAGCTTACTAGCCAGGCTTCTCTGTACCCGTTTAACACTGGTGTTTACCTGACATGGCCAGGTAGTTGATATCATGCCCGGCAGCCTTGGTGTAGGATCCGCTCTGTCGTGCATAAATCAGGCGCGGATTCTCTTTTAGTAAATCTTCAGGACCTAATCCCATCTTCTCCATAACACCTTAATTATACCAGAGCGATATAATATCGAAGCATGAAAGGAAAAAAGCCTTGAAGGTAAATAAATTTGAATTTAGAGGACCAGAGGTTAAAAGGTAGCTAATTATTCTTGTTTGGATGTAAAATCAGGAAAGAAATGGCAATCACTAATTTAAGTCAAGAAAATTTTTATTTATTTATTTATGTTAATCAACAATGCTTTCATTAAAGCAACTGAAATTATTTAGACAAAATAAACGATATAGGCAGAGGTTAATAGTTTAAAAAACAAAGAGTAATTAATTTGCAAACAAAAATAACTAATTGTAAAGCAACATGCTGTACAATCTTGCATTAAAATGGAAGAACATTGG